GCACATGCTTGCAAGCAGATGAAAACAACCTGCCACACATGCTTGCAAGCAAGTCTTCACAAACACAAGACAGCAGGCAACAAAGAGCGACAACAAGCAAACTAAAAATCAGGTCAAAAATAACCGATGAATATTGTAGCAAGAACCGCTGGATGGAGATCGACATTGAGCAACGGCGCGCGTCAGAGGAAGCCAACCAAAACAAAACAGATGCAGAGACCTTTCTTCAACAAACTCAGGATCAAAGCCAAAGAAAACTGATATTATCCTATTTGTTCTTTCAAATTCTGCTGGGGGTCCGTCGGGGACGCCTTATGAAATGCTCGTCCCAAGATGCGAAGGTATTTGCAGCGTGTGAATTGCCATTTTATAAGGGCGCTTTGTGCGCCTTCAGTCTTGTCCTGTGGCAGCTGTAGGACGGTGATGGATAGTAGTCATCTACATATACGATACTGTCATTTCCTCATTTCCAGAGATCTTTGTTGAAGGGCCTTTGGCACGGAGCATGCTTGTGAGTCACCCCGCCATGGGTCGCAACAAGCCTGTTTGCCTTGCACGTTGTGCTTCCTTTCGTTGTGTGCTTTAAAGACCTAGGAAACTAAAGCCAAGCAAAGGCGTTAAGAAGGCGCAGAAACGCTGCATGCATGGCGCGCATGAGGAAACAAGCCCTCCTGGGATGGAAGCAACCGCGCCACAAATGTGCGCAATCTTATCATCACAAAAAAGAACGCAAGGAAAGGCTGGGCAACAACAGAAAAATCACACACGCAGGTCAAGAACTGACCGAACATGAAAATGAGAAGCAAGTAACAGAAATTGCATTGACAGCATTAAAAAAAAATGAAAAACACGCCAAAATCAACAGAATGCCAACACCTCTTGTGAACCAGCACAGCATTACCAGCACAGCGTTAAAAGTCGAAAGACAGATGTTACATGATTTCTTTTCTTCCCTGTTTTCTTGTGGAGCTCATTCTGCACGCAATGGCCAAGGGCACACCTCTGAGCTGCGAGTCCCAGGGTGTGCTGCGTGTAGCGGCATGATGCGGCATGTGAGTCTTCATTTATGGCTGTGTTTTTTGCGCCTTCGGTCTCGGCCTGTGGCAGATGTTGGATGCTGATGGATGGTGCCTGTTGATGGTGCTCTACATGGTGTTGTCTGAGACAGGTATATGGCACGGAGACAGCAAGTCCGCTGGAAAGGATGCTTTACTCTTACATACTTTTACTGGGACTTCTCTGGCTTGCTACAAGTTGGTTTATTTCTATTTATTTCTGATGGCTGTGCATGTTATCTTTCCTTTCGTTGTTTGTATTTGGGAAAGAGCAGAGAATCTCAAGCAAGAAGATGACAAAGGCGCGGAAAGACTTCATCCATAAAAGCAGACAGAGAAAGAATGCCACTGAAGATGAAAGCAACCTGCCACACATGCTTGCAAGCAGATGAAAACAACCTGCCACACATGCTTGCAAGCTAGTCTTCACAAACACAAGGCAGCAGGCGACAATAATGAGCGACAACAGGAAAACGAAGAATCAGGTCAAAAAATAACCGATGAATATTGTAGCAGGAACCGCTGGATGGAGATCGACATTGAGCAACTGCGCGCATTAGAGGAAGCCAACCAAAACAAACCAGATGCAGAGACCTTTCTTCAACAAACTCAGGATCAAAGCCAAAGAAAGCTGATACTATCCTTTTTGTTCTTTCAATTTCTGCTGGGGGTCCGTCGGGGACGCCGTATGAAATGCTCGTCCCAAGATGCGAAGGTATTTGCAGCATGCGAATTGCCATTTTATAAAAACGCTTTGTGCACCTTCAGTTTTGTCCTGTGGCAGCTGCGGAAGTTGATGGATAGTGGTCATTTACATACTGTCATTTCCTCATTTCCAGAGATCTTTGTTGACGGGCCTTTGGCACGGAGCATGCTTGTGAGTCACCCCGCCATGGGTCGCAACAAGCCTGTTTGCCTTGCACCTTGTGCTTCCTTTCGTTGTGTATTTGAATGAGCTAGGACCGGAAACTAAATTCAAGCAGAGGCGTGAAGAAGGCGCGGAAACGCTGCATGCATGGCAGTGAATGAGGAAACCAGCCCTCCTGGGATGGAAGCAACCGCGCGCAAATGTGCGCAATCTTGTCTTCACAAGAAGAGCGCAAGGATAGTCTGGGCAACAACAGGAAAAATCACACACAAAAGAACTGACGGAAAATGAAAATGAGCAGCCACAAACATACATTGCAATGGGCAGCATGAAAACATACAAAACAAGCCAAAATCAACAGAATGCCAAAAATCTCTTATGAACCAGCACAGCATTATAAAAGTCAAAGACACGTGTTGTCTGATTTCTTTTCTTCCTTGTTTCCTTGTGGAGATCATTCTGCACGCAATGGCCACGGGCAGCCCTCTGAAATGCGAGTCCCAGGGTGTGCTGCGTGTAGCGGCGTGCGAATCTTCATTTTTTAGCTGTGTTTTGTGCGCCTTCGGGCTCGGCCTGTGGCAGATGTTGGATGCTGATGGACTGTTGTGATTGTGGTGCTCTACCTGGTGTTGTCTGATATTCTTGATGACAGGTGTGTGGCCCGGAGAACGCAAGTCCGCTGAAAAGGATGCTTTACTTTTACATACTTTTACTGGGACTTCTCTGGCTTGCTACAAGTTGGTTTATTTCTATTTATTTCTGGTGGCTGTGCATGTTATCTTTCCCTTCGTTTTTGTATTTGGGAAAGAGCGGGGAATCTCAAGCAAGAAGGTGACGAAGGTGCAGAAAGACTTCATCCATATAAGCAGACAAAGAAAGAATGCCACTGAAGATGAAAGCAACCGGCCACACATGCTGCAAGCTAGTCTTCAAAAACACAGAACAGCAGGGAAAACAAAGAATCAGGTCAAAAAATACTGATGAATATTGTAGCAAGAACCGCTGGTGATCGTCATTGCATGCGACGAAGCCAAACAAAATAGGCCCGATACCGAATACAGAAACCTTTCTTCAACAAACGCAGCTTCAAAGCCAAAGAAAGCTGATATTATCCTATGTGCTCATTCATTTTTTTGCTGGGGGTCCGTCGGGGACGCATCGGCCAGGGCAATGCCTTATGAAATGCTCGTCCCAAGATGTGAATGTGTCTTGCAGCGTGTGCATTGCCATGTTATAAGGGCGCTTTGTGCGCCTTCAGTCTCACCCTGTGGCAGCTGCAGGATGGTGATGGATGGTGGTCATCAAAGTTTTTTTGAAGGGCCTTTGGCACGGAGCATGCTTGTGAATCACCCCGCCATGGGTCGCCACAAGCTGGTTTCTTTCTGTCTTCCGTGCACATTGTGCTTTCTTTCGTTTTGCAGTTTTGCACTTTAAAGAGCTGCGAAACTAAAGCAGCGGCGTGAAGAAAGTAAGGTGCCGTGGTTCCGCCTGGTCTCTCCTCACGGCGTTAACCAACCCGAAAGCACGCTTAATTAAATAAATCCAAAAGGCTCCAAACCTATCCTGAATAAGCTCTAAACCAGCCCTGAGTAGATCATGAACAAACCCTGAACCAACCCCGCATAAACCCCAAGCAGGCCCTAAATAAACACTAACTATCCCTAACCCGCTCCCCCCCCCGCTTTGTGTCATGCTGGAATCCACAACAACAGATTTGATGGCCGCAAACTCAAACTTTATAGTTTCTTATAAAATGACAGTCCGCAGCTCCATTACAAGCATTCCGAACCATCATTCTATAAGGCAATGTTCTCCAAATGTTATTAAATGACAACTAGAGTCTATACATGACAAGTTTAAAAGGAACCATGATTTTATAACCCCAAAAAAATATACAAATATATTTTTTTATGCTGACCCCGCCCCCCATGTTTTCTCCTGAGGAGATACCGGGGTTTGCCATTTTATAGCCCCCAGAAAAAGGGGTGGTTTATAAAATGACAGTTCCCAGTAGGGATCTTCCCAGACCAGTTATTGCAAAACACACCATTTTATAAGCAATTTCACGTTTGATTTTAACCCTGGGGGCGGCACTCAATAAGAAATGAGAGGCGCCACCCGGGTGGCGCCATTTAATAAGGAATATTAAAAGGGGGATTATATATATATATATACACACACATAGGCTTGTGTATATATATATATACTTAGACATCTACTGTAAGTATCGTATATTCTGCAGATATGTTGATATATGTTGATCTTGACAAAGGAGATTCTGGTCAAACGATGTTGAAAACTATTGAAAATAAGTGGTGCTGATGCTCCTTTATCACCGAGCATGGTGAGACTGATACCATTTCGGATGTACTAAACGCTAGCCATACAGGGGGTTCCATAAATGGTGGTACCCCGAAATGGATGGTTTATAATTACTGTAATGGTTAATCCTATGAAAATGAAGGATTTAGGGGTACTCCCATGACTTAGGAAACCTCCATATGAATTCTTTCCCAATCCACTTGGGCTTCATGCCGGCCCCAAGAGTTGGGATCATAGATCGGGGGACTGTCGGCCATTCGAACAGTTTATGAATAAAAAAAGGGTTCACCAAAATTGGGTTCACAATAACCCATAATCAGTTTATAAATAAATTGGGTTCTGAATTGAATTCACACGGCTGTGTGCAAAACCTGCCAAATGTTGCTCCATACCGTGATTGTGCAAGAATTGTCCCAAGAATTGCGCTTACTACCCCGTTGAACTATCGTTGGTTGCTTAAATTTTTTTCAGTGCAGTACCTCACGGGACAGCAGATTCATGTGGGATTCAGCCAATGCCATGTTTACCAGGCAGATGAGATTCCCCTGGTCCCCCTGGGAAAGGGTACTAACCCAACTAATAGCCACTTAATAAAACTGCCAACAGGTTCATTCAGAGTCTTGTCCAACTAGAAATCATCCATCTATGATATCCAAAACATAGTTGATGAGTTTTCATGATTTATAGTTGGACATCCATAAAAATTCCATAAGTGGATGCTTTATGACACATAGTTTCCAAAAAGATGTGGGCGCCTGTCCAGGACCTTGGCTTGGCTCAGCCAGAGCTCCACGGCCTGGATTTCAATGGATTATGTGGGGACTTTTTGAATTGTAGCTAATGTCAGGATAGCTCATCCATTCAAATAATGGATAATCCCAGGATAATCCCAGGATAATGCCAGGAAAATATCAGGATAATCATGGATACTCCTTTGTGTATGTTTCTCTTGCACCCATTCTTTGCGGCTTGTTCCTGCAAAACTGGGACTTAAGGAACTTAAGTTCGGAAATTGATGTTTAGTGAGCCAGTTGGTCTCCAAAGAAAAGTCAGTTTGTGCTGGCCCAAAAGCAATAAGTTAGCCATCCTCACCCACAAAGCCACAGCAATATTTGGCATCGGTACCGTACCATCTTCGAAACAGCCGATAAAAGGACCCACGATTTGACACCAAAACTCCCATTTTTTTTGAATGACCGTCCATGGGGTGTCACGAAAATTCACGATGGGGTTTGGTCAACAAACACCAAAATTGTCGAAGTCAACACTGAAATATATTGGACAAAATATAATGCATAACACAACACCCTGCACAACACTCTCAAAACAATAAAAGATGGGCCAGATAGGCTTCGGGATGTGTGAACATTAGATGCCCAAACAATTTGCTGGGTAATACTTGCAATGAGATCGACAAACATGGTTATGTTAAGGAACGAAAACCATTATTGTACGGGCCATGTGGCACCCCGCCTTGAGAAACACGTTTCCATCAAACAGAGCTGACTGGAAATCTAAGTCCTGAATACAGTTTCCACATTCCTGTACCATCTGGTTATTTAACAGTTCGCCATGGAAAATCAAATTTTTTAATGGGTAAACTATCTATAAATGGGCCATTTTCCATGGCTATGTTAAATAACCAGAGGGTAAGTGTTCTTAAAACTATGGTGCTTTGTGTTGCTTTCTTAATTTTTCATGGTTGGATGCCATACCACAAATCCATTGTTTAGCCATCCCCGCATTATCCCGATGTTGTTTCTCGTTACATTGTACCTGTTGTTTGTCAATTCCCAGGGTTCGGTCACGTTTATTCCTTTGGTCTCTTATACGCCAATGTGTTGATCTCAGATGGGTATATACATACATACATACATACATACAGACAGACAGACATACATACAGACATACATACATACATACTACAGACATAGATCATACATACATACATACAGAACATACATCATACATACATACATACCATACGATACATACATACATCATACATACATACATACATACATACCATACAGACATACATACAGACATACATACATACATACATACATACATACATACATACATACCATACATACATACATACATACATACATACATACATACATTACATACATTACATACACATACATACATACATACATTACATACATACATACATACATTACATACATACATACATACATTACATTACATTACATTACATACATTACATACATACATAACATTACATTACATTACATTACATTACATTACATTACATTACATTACATTACATTACATACATACATACATATACCATATATACATATATATATGCATATATATATATATGCATATATCCACATCTTGCTTTCCATCCTGTTGTTTTCATTGGTTGGAACGACATATTTAAATGTAAGATTCCTCTTGTGGCTGGTCACTGGCCCAGCAGGAAGATAGGTGAAAGAAATGACCTTCACCACCCTGTAACTGCTTGTAATTAAGATCTCTCTGGTCTCAAAAAAGAGAAGCCAACCCCTATCAACATTCAAGGGACAGACCACATACATATATATATATATACTATCAAATATAAAGAAACTGCTTGTTCAGGTGGCCTCAAGCATCAGAGGTTGGCCGCCTCACACATCACTCGGAAAGCAAGCCTCTTTTGCTCCGAAACAAACTAAGCACAGCCCACAGAATTCACAGAATCCCTGCCAAATAAACACCGAGCACTGAAGCTTTGAAGACTCGATGGCAAGGTCACCCGCTCCAGGCTTTGGTTGAATTTATAGCCAAAACTCAAGCTTTGGAGACTTGATGGCAAGGTCACCCGCTCCAGGCTTTGGTTGAAGTCATGGCCAAAACTCAAGCTTTGAAGACTCGATGGCAAGGTCACCCGCTCCAGGCTTTGGTTGAACCGATAGCCAAAACTCAAGCTTTGAAGGCTCGATGGCAAGGTCACCCGCTCCAGGCTTTGGTTGAAGTCATGGCCAAAACTCAAGCTTTGAAGACTCGATGGCAAGGTCACCCGCTCCAGGCTTTGGTTGAAGTTCCAGCCGAAACTCAAGTTTTGGAGACTGGATGGCAAGGTCACCCGCTCCAGGCTTTGGTTGAAGTTCCAGCCGAAACTCAAGTTTTGAAGACTCGATGGCAAGGTCACCCGCTCCAGGCTTTGGTTGAAATTCTCACCAAAACTCAAGCTTTGAAGACTCGATGGCAAGGTCACCCGCTCCAGGCTTTGGTTGAACTCCTCGCCAAGACTCAAGTTTTGAAGACTCGATGGCAAGGTCACCCGCTCCAGGCTTTGGTTGAAGTTCCAGCCGAAACTCAAGTTTTGAAGACTCGATGGCAAGGTCACCCGCTCCAGGCTTTGGTTGAAATTCTCACCAAAACTCAAGCTTTGAAGACTCGATGGCAAGGTCACCCGCTCCAGGCTTTGGTTGAACTCCTCGCCAAGACTCAAGCTTTGAAGACTCGATGGCAAGGTCACCCGCTCCAGGCTTTGGTTGAAGTTCCAGCCGAAACTCAAGTTTTGGAGACTGGATGGCAAGGTCACCCGCTCCAGGCTTTGGTTGAAGTCATGGCCAAAACTCAAGCTTTGAAGGCTCGATGGCAAGGTCACCCGCTCCAGGCTTTGGTTGAAGTCATGGCCAAAACTCTCATGGCCAAAACTCAAGCTTTGAAGACTCGATGGCAAGGTCACCCGCTCTAGGCTGTGGTTGAAGCCGCCCAAACTCAAGCTTTGAAGACTCGACGGCAAGGTCACCCGCTCCAGGCTTTGGTTGAACCAATCGCCAAAACTCAAGCTTTGAAGACTCGATGGCAAGGTCACCCGCTCCAGGCTTTGGTTAAAATTCTTACCAAAACTCAAGCTTTGAAGACTCGATGGCAAGGTCACCCGCTCTAGGCTGTGGTTGAAGCCGCCCAAACTCAAGCTTTGAAGACTCGACGGCAAGGTCACCCGCTCCAGGCTTTGGTTGAACCAATCGCCAAAACTCAAGCTTTGAAGACTCGATGGCAAGGTCACCCTCTCCAGGCTTCGATTGAACATATTGCCAAAACTCAAGCTTTGAAGACACGATGGCAAGGTCACCCGCTCCAGGCTTTGGATGAAATTCCTGCCAAAACTCATGGTGTGAAGACTGGATGGCAAGGTCACCCGCTCCAGGCTATGGTTGAAACCATCCTCAAAACTCAATCTTGCAAGGCTGCAGGGGAGATTATGTAAATACTCTCCACTCGCTGCTCCCTCAAGTTGCGTAACACCTTCCAGCGCAAACTCTCTTTCATCAGTTGGGAGCCCACAGACATAACACCATGCAGTGTACACATTTGTTGGTATGTAAGTGCAGGACAGCATTGCCGATTTTCCAACAATCCCTTGCTCTCCCAAGGTTTGATCCAGCGTCAGCTTTGCATTCATATAATGCACGGCGAGCTTTGCGCCGGGCTTGCATGGAAGCTTCTCAGACACCAACCTCCGCAGGTCGTACCCAAACATAGAGCGGGGGACGCTCAATCTCACTCCTTCTCCAGTCAGGCACAGCACCTGAAGATCGACCTCATCAGTTTCACCTGCTGCACCTTTGTCGGTAGATAATGGATCCACATAGCCATGTTGTGCACCGGACATTCGTCAAAATGTACACAGCTCTAAGCCGAAAGATCTTCGCAAAACCAACGAATACAACTCTCAAATGCAACATGGACCCATCTTTTGGCCATTTCCAAGTGCACCATCTCCAAGGTTAACAACTCACTTCCAACACCGAATATCAACTCACTTCCAACACCGACTCACTCCCAACACCAAGAACTCACTCCCAACACCAAAAATCAACTCACTTCCAACACAAAAAGCACTTTTCGGCGTCGAGGGCGAGTCGATTTTCCATTTCCCCATTGGTATTGAGGCGTCACTTCTGGAACCCCATCATAAACAAACATTACAGGGAAAATGATCAACACTGAGAAAGCCTTCAAGGGGATTCAACCCTTTAGGTTGGGGGGGGGAACCATCAGGGTACCATACAGGCGGAATGATCAACACTGATAAACCCTTCAAGGGGATTCAACCCTTTAGGTTGGGTGGGGGGGGGAACCATCAGGGTACCATACAGGGGGAATGATCAACACTGAGAAAGCCTTCAAGGGGATTCAACCCTTTAGGTTGGGGGGGGGTGAACCATCAGGGTACCATACAGGCGGAAATGATCAACACTGATAAACCCTTCAAGGGGATTCAACCCTTTAGGTTGGGTGGGGGGGAACCATCAGGGTACCATACAGGGGGAATGATCAACACTGAGAAAGCCTTCAAGGGGATTCAACCCTTTAGGTTGGGGGGGGGAACCATCAGGGTACCATACAACAACACTGATAAACCCTTCAAGGGGATTCAACCCTTTAGGTTGGGGGGGGAAACCATCAGGGTGCCATACAGGCGAAATGATCAACACTGAGAAAGCCTTCAAGGGGATTCAACCCTTTAGGTTGGGGGGGAACCATCAGGGTACCATACAGGCGGATAGATCAACACTGATAAACCCTTCAAGGGGATTCAACCCTTTAGGTTGGGTGGGGGGGAACCATCAGGGTACCATACAGGGGGAATGATCAACACTGAGAAAGCCTTCAAGGGGATTCAACCCTTTAGGTTGGGGGGGGGAAACATCAGGGTACCATACAGGCGGAATGATCAACACTGAGAAACCCTTCAAGGGGATTCAACCCTTTAGGTTGGGTGGGGGGGAAACATCAGGGTACCATACAGGAAAAATGATCAACACTGAGAAAGCCTTCAAGGGGATTCAACCCTTTAGGTTGGGGGGGGGAACCATCAGGGTACCATACAGGTGGATAGATCAACACTGATAAACCCTTCAAGGGGATTCAACCCTTTAGGTTGGGTGGGGGGAGGGGAAACATCAGGGTACCATACAGGAAAAATGATCAACACTGAGAAAGCCTTCAAGGGGATAACAGGCGTTGATGTTGATGTGAATGTTGATGATGTTGTTGTGGTTGTTAATGTTTTGTGTGTTGTCGATGTTGAGACTGCTGTTGATTTTGTTCTTGTTGTTGATGTTGTCATGTTGTCATGTTGTCGATTTCCGTAAAGAGGCGTCGGGAGCGAGTCGATTTTTGCTGCAATCCATTTCAGCCCTACCTTGTTCATGGCAAGTTGTGAAGTTTGATAGTCGGGTTTGTGTGGGTTTGTCAGTTTGACTCCCGCGTTGCCATGATGCAGAGAAGCTCAGTCATTCTATGCAAATGTGTCAAAATCATGCAATTCTGATCAATTTTGAGGATTATTTTGGGGCATCCTCAATTTAAGAATAACATAGAATAACAAATGTCCACTATTCAATGCACATTGGCTCCCCATTTTGGCTGGTTGTTCCAAAATACTCCACTGTTGCGGGTCAGATCCCCATGTTCGCTAAACCTTCCAACTTGGCAGCGTTAAGAATCCCCGTTTTGAGTCGTTAAAAATCTCATTCAGACAAAACCAGATATCAGCATGTCCCTATGAGATTCCCGTAAGATGGGTGGTGTGTGACCATATTCAAACTTACCCTACAAGAAAACAACTGGGTAGTACACATCCCTTTTGTAGCAAACATGAAACTAACACCAGTTGGTTTACTCGTCTGTTTGATGGTTCGCCATACCTTCATGGCCAAACCATGTCAAACCCGAAAGATGGATGGGTCAAATTTCAAAAAAAAAAAACTATAACCAACCAGTCATCATTCATGCCATCCATTTCCCAAGATCCGACAAAGATCCCGCCTGGACCAAGCTTCGGAGCTGCACTTGCTCCGAGGTGAACTTCACCTCATGGGGATCCACTTTTTGTTGAATTTTCATCATACCAAAAAGCGTAATTATAACAGTATATACCATTTATTCCATCACTATGCCATCACCATACCATCATCAATTAAGGTATATACTATTTTATATATATATTATATTTTCTATATATATATACATATGTATATACCCACCATTATAGAAGCATCATTCAATCCCCAGCCCAAAAAATCCTGGTTGTTGCTGAAATCCCCGGAAGTCGTACCTGGTCCCTTTGCTGCACCCGGAAGTTCCGGGCCAAACCTTCCACCACCTGGACCCAAACACTGCTGAGTTCACCATCGAAAATGAGGGCATTTTTACCTGGTCAAAATGGGGATTAAAACCAACAAAAATGAGGCTTCAGAAGTTCACCATCCAAAAATTCGGATTTGATGAACAACAAAGCTAGTTTTGAAAAGAAAAACTACGTTTGTTGTCATCAAACATGGGGAGATGACCAAAAGGAAATTAGGAATTGAACCGACAAAGATGTGACATTGATCATTAAACATCATTAACGTCATTAAACATATTTTGAGGATTTTAAGTCAATTTAGCCACGAGGATATGAAGCAACGAACATGGGACCAATTGGCAGTCTCGGCTCGTCGGCGGGTATCCCAAGTTCGCATCCCCTCCGATCAACCCAGTCCGAGGCGGCTTTTGGGGGAAGGATGGAATAAAGCCCTATGTTCTTTAAGATGGTGCATTCAAGCAAACGACATTTCTGAAACGTTACATATACTACGTCTATATATCTATATGCATGCGTATACGCATGTTTTTATACAATATATAGACATAAATACATGCATCAATTGGCAACACAAATCACCATGTTCGATGCCTCAACCCTACATTCATTGCTGCACCCTCGAAAGTCTGGGAAGACGCACCATGAGGCCCAAGAGGGTGCCCTCCAGCGTGGCCTCGGGAAAGATGTAACTTTTGTAGCCATCGATTTTAGGGTTCACATAAATTAAACACCATTCCAAAATCTGAGAAGTCTGTATGATCTGAGGGCATAGTGGAAGAGTAAAGAAATCATGACAAGCATATGTAATCAGCGCCATATTTTTCCTGAATCATTGGTATGAAGGGCACGTAACTCCATGACCCGGCGAGAGATCTCATAAGGTGACCATGCTGAGATAATACCTTCCTACAGGACGTGTTCTATCAAGAAACGGAAAGACTTTTTCCTCCACAAAAACGTGGTACACAACCTGGTAATCAACGATGGCTGGGAAATCCCCCACAACTAGTTCGAGGAATTTTCCAGCCGGCCATTCCCCTCTGGGGCCATCCGGCTGGTGTGGCCGCGATGCCCTGGCCTTTACCTGGTGCCATGGCCCATTTTGCAGTAAATGAGTGGATGACATCGATTGGAAAGTTAACTCCCAACCATTTTGGGACGTAAGCTTTTCATAGACACAGCGCCACTGCTACATCCTGGCTACGCACTTATGAAGAATGAAAGTTCACCCGGCATTCGAGTTATCACGAAATGCGGTGCTGCACTGCCGGAAAAATTAGAAATGGCATTCCCATATATTCCCATGGCTACCAGCTATTTCGCATCTTTGTTGCTTGAATATGTTGTACTTCGCTATACCACTCTAATCTAAAGACTTTCTCGAGACATGCCAGGAGGTTTTTTCCAGCCCATGGTCTTAAATCCCAGTGTCAAATCACAAATAGCAAGTGGGTATCCGGGTATATCATACATCCAATGAAATCCCTTATTTCTTATGGTTTTTGTTGTCACATTCAGCCATATTAAATCCCACTATCCCCATGTTTTATGGTTCAATCCCATTAAATTCAACATTTTTCTTGGTTAAATCCCATTCAATCACCATATTTCCATGGTTACCTCCAATTTTCCATGCCCATCTCCCCCATCTGCCCAGAAACCCAGGCTCTCAGCCACATAGCCCCGGAGGTGCTCCAAGTGTTGGGCGAATTGCTTTGCCATCTCCGAGCGGTAGGAGGCCTCGGACGATTTCACCCATTTCACCGGTCTTTTCACTGGAAAATCATGAGAAAAAGGTGGTGATTTCACACCCAAAAAGGCTGAAACGAGTTTTAGATTTTTGGACCTCAGCAAGGAAAAGGGGCGGAGATTTCTTTTGGACCAAAACATTTTGATGTTCATCAAAATTTATCAATGATTATTTAGCAATTTAGTAATTTAGCATACGGTCTGCCGAAGAAAAATGTCTATAATATGTATTATTATTATTATTACTATTATTATTATATATATATATATATATATTATATATATATATTACAAATACGTGGTCATATATATATATATATATTACAAATACGTGGTCTATATATATATATACATACATTATAGCATTAGATATTACCCTCCAGTAACTTAACATAAACCCTGGCAGACAGGGGTTGAAAGACTAATTTGCACTAAAAATTAGGTGCTTTCAGACTTTCAGGATCTATTTTTAATTTACCAGAGGGTACTGTAGATATTAGATATATTTAGATAATTACTATATTTTATACAGCATCATTATATCATAATATTCATGTATGTATACATTTCACCAAAACCCAACTTTTCCCGCCTCTGTGTTGCGGCGCCACAATAGGATGGAACCAGGGAAGACGAGGACCTTTGGTCAGGCCAGCACCGGTGTTTCATTGACCATTGGGATCATCCCAGAAAACTCTTCTGACAACGAACTAACATCCGGTTGTACCCTGGACGCCAATCGAATCAACCATGTCATGGATATGTGTCAAGCCAATGCTCTAGATGTTGTCTCCGAATTCAATCCTGACTGAGAATAAAAGGTCATCCCAAGTTCAGCAATGTTCCTGGAGTCGTCACTGGGCGCTCCCTCATATGAAGCCCTGGAAATGTGCTGCCAGCATCTTTGCCACTTGCAGATTGAAGTCAAACTATTTGAGGAAGGAGATACTCACTAAACCATGAATCACTGGGTTGATTTTGACGGAAGGGGAAATCATACGCAGAGAAAGTCCACATATTCCATGTTTCGGATTTTTTCCCTTCAACCAATGCTGGGGTTCAAGCGAGATTAACATTTTCCAACGATGATAGTGATCCAGCAACTAGGGATAATACGTCATCAGCAATGATAGGTGTCAATTAACACTGCTTGAATCCTGGAACCTGCCTGACTTCCTTTGGTTCCAACAGGGGTGATCGCCAACTTTTTGTGACCCAGTCCTCGACTTCAAAAAAAAGCCCAGCCAAGGCGCCCTCACCACAAGTCGCAAGATCAACCATAGCAAAAGAACATTAAACATCACCGCTCCAGGTGCTGTCAACAGCCGCGCCAAGCACACCTGGAGCATCTGGAGCTGCCAGGTGCATCCGGCGTTTGTGTATCTGTCAGATTTTCCAGAGATGTTAGCAGCCAAGCATGCAGAAAAATGGATGAAAAATGGATGATTCATGATGATTCAATAAGTCCAATACCCAAACCCGTAAAAAAAAAAATGCAGATTCCTTGGCGTCCAGATCCCCAGGCATTCATCTTCTGCTCTCAGACCATCCCACAACTCCGATCTGCCAACAGCTACGCAAAATGTTGACCTACGGCCGACTACGGCTATGAGCCCATGAAATCATCTGATTGGGTTGCCCATGAATTCCCACTCTTCATGGCGACATTCCCTACATAGCGATTCCTAAACTTCAATGTTTGTTGTTTGTTGACACTTTGACCATAGCGGGCATAGCTGGTGCATCATCCCAGCCCAATGAAAAAGGCACGTTGAAGACTGCGATGAGGATGAAAACCAGCAGAACTACCGGTGTGATGATGAGGCACAAGACCTCGAGTCGCACATGCCACAGAGAAATGTTCCGTAGAAGCAATGCAAATGGGTTTTTCATGAAAAAAACATGTTATCAAATTTGCTCAAATACTCCCATTTTTTTTTAATGATCTGTGGCATTTGATATTTATAAAAAAAATAGAGAAATGTTCCCATTGTCCTTATATATCGCATGAACATCCAGGAGTCATCTCCAACAATGTACAAAGGTGACGATCATAAATCGCCTGTTGGCACACCACGTTTATCCCCCGTTTCATGGTCCGTCCTTGGCAGGGAAAACGACCTTTTAGTGGGTAAAAACCCTCTGGATATTGGATGTTATTTGACAGTTTGCTGTGGAAAATGGCCCATTTATAGATGATAAACATAGCTATGTTAAATTTCCAGAACGTTATTGTTTCACCACCCAAAACCTGATGCTAAATCCCTCAAAAAACACTGCGTCGCGTCATGAGCCAAACCATCATATTATCTCCATCGAAATTGCATTTCTAGTGACACCATTTTCAGACACACACAAAAAGCAGCTAAAGTGTATATTCCATTTTATGTATACTTGTTTGTTTGTATATTTATACTATAACCATAACTATAAGTATAACTATAACTATAATTATAACTATAATTATAACTATCTCTAAAACTATAATTGTAAGTATAACAATAATTGTAAGTATAACTATAACTATAACATGTATATTTTTTCCTTGTGGGTATATAGAACATGCTTAAGTGCCCATTACAGCAGTTGACTGTTGACCTAGCAAGTCTCCTTTCATAGAAGCTGTCATCGTTCCAGAACCCCACTTCAGAAACGTGCGTGTGGAAAACTGCTTCGGAATGGATTGCAGCTTTATCCAGAGCCAACACTTGGGGCACTTGAACAGTATACCGAGATACGTACATCTTATAGGTATATATATATATATACATATGTGATCATAATATGTATACATGAATGTATATCTATGTATGTGTATATATATATACATATATATATATGTACACATCCCTTAAATCCCCATTCATATTCCCATTGAATCTCCATTGATATCCCATTAAATCACCATCGTTCATGGTTAAATCCCATTAAGTTCCATTAATCATCCATTCCCACTATACCAATCCCATTACATCACCATTAAATCTCATTATTTTCAATTGGATCCCATTAATTCCCTTGAAATCCTATTATATAAATCCCTCTAAATCCCAAATAAGTCACCAGTAAATCACCATTAAATCCCCATTGTTCCCCCATTAATCCAATCAATATCCCATTTATATCCCATTTAAATCCCATTATATAGTTGGTTATTCTCTAGTATCTCCAATTAAACATTCCGTTCATATTGGTTTATTATCTCCCCATGATAGTTGATTATTCTTAATCACCATTAAATCACCATTAAATCCCATTTATATCCCATTTATCTCCCATTTATATCCCATGTATCTCCCATTTATATCCCATTTATCTCCCATTTATATCCCATGTATCTCCCATTTATACCATTTATCTCCCATTTATATACCATGTATCTCCCATTTATATCCCATGTATCTCTCATTTATATCCCATTTATCTCCCATTTATATCCCATGTATCTCCCATTTATACCATTTATCTCCCATTTATATACCATTTATCTCCCATTTATATCCCATTTATCTCCCATTTATCTCCCATTTATATCCCATGTATCTCCCATTTATATCCCATTTATCTCCCATTTATATCCCATGTATCTCCCATTTATACCATTTATCTCCCATTTATATCCCATTTATCTCCCATTTATATCCCATGTATCTCCCATTTATATCCCATGTATCTCCCATTTATATCCCATTTATCTCCCATTTATATCCCATTTATCTCCCATTTATATCCCATTTATCTCCCATTTATCTCCCATTTATCTCCCATTTATCTCCCATTTATATCCCATTTATCTCCCATTTATATCCCATTTATATCCCATTTATATCCCATTTATCTCCCATTTATCTCCCATTTATCTCCCATTTATATCCCATTTATCTCCCATTTATCTCCCATTTATCTCCCATTTATCTCCCATGTATCTCCCATTTATATCCCATTTATCTCCCATTTATCTCCCATTTATATCCCATGTATCTCCCATTTATCTCCCATTTATCTCCCATTTATCTCCCATTTATATCCCATTTATCTCCCATTTATATCCCATGTATCTCCCATTTATATCCCATTTATACCATTTATCTCCCATTTATATCCCATTTATCTCCCATTTATATCCCATGTATCTCCCATTTATATCCCATGTATCTCCCATTTATATCCCATTTATCTCCCATTTATATCCCATTTATCTCCCATTTATATCCCATGTATCTCCCATTTATATCCCATTTATCTCCCATTTATATCCCATTTATCTCCCATTTATATCCCATTTATCTCCCATTTATATCCCATTTATCTCCCATTTATATCCCATTTATCTCCCATTTATATCCCATGTATCTCCCATTTATATCCCATGTATCTCCCATTTATATCCCATGTATCTCCCATTTATATCCCATGTATCTCCCATTTATATCCCATTTATCTCCCATTTATATCCCATTTATCTCCCATTTATATCCCATTTATCTCCCATTTATATCCCATTTATCTCCCATTTATATCCCATGTATCTCCCATTTATATCCCATTTATCTCCCATTTATATCCCATTTATCTCCCATTTATATCCCATTTATCTCCCATTTATATCCCATTTATCTCCCATTTATATCCCATTTATCTCCCATTTATATCCCATTTATCTCCCATTTATATCCCATTTATCTCCCATTTATATCCCATGTATCTCCCATTTATATCCCATTTATCTCCCATTTATATCCCATTTATCTCCCATTTATATCCCATTTATCTCCCATTTATATCCCATGTATCTCCCATTTATATCCCATTTATCTCCCATTTATATCCCATTTATCTCCCATTTATATCCCATGTATCTCCCATTTATATCCCATTTATCTCCCATTTATCTCCCATTTATATCCCATTTATCTCCCATTTATCTCCCATTTATCTCCCATTTATATCCCATTTATCTCCCATTTATATCCCATTTATCTCCCATTTATATCCCATGTATCTCCCATTTATATCCCATTTATCTCCCATTTATATCCCATTTATCTCCCATTTATATCCCATTTATCTCCCATTTATATCCCATTTATCTCCCATTTATATCCCATTTATCTCCCATTTATATCCCATGTATCTCCCATTTATATCCCATTTATCTCCCATTTATCTCCCATTTATATCCCATTTATCTCCCATTTATCTCCCATTTATCTCCCATTTATATCCCATTTATCTCCCATTTATATCCCATTTATCTCCCATTTATATCCCATGTATCTCCCATTTATATCCCATTTATCTCCCATTTATATCCCATTTATCTCCCATTTATATCCCATTTATCTCCCATTTATATCCCATTTATCTCCCATTTATATCCCATGTATCTCCCATTTATCTCCCATTTATATCCCATGTATCTCCCATTTATATCCCATGTATCTCCCATTTATATCCCATTTATCTCCCATTTATATCCCATGTATCTCCCATTTATATCCCATGTATCTCCCATTTATATCCCATGTATCTCCCATTTATATCCCATTTATCTCCCATTTATATCCCATGTATCTCCCATTTATATCCCATTTATCTCCCATTTATATCCCATTTATCTCCCATTTATATCCCATTTATCTCCCATTTATATCCCATGTATCTCCCATTTATATCCCATTTATCTCCCATTTATATCCCATTTATCTCCCATTTATATCCCATTTATCTCCCATTTATCTGCCCATTTATATCCCATTATTCTCCCATTATTCCCATTATAATCCCATTTATATCCATTTATCTCCCATTTATCTCCCATTGTATCTCCCATATATCCGCATTTATCTCCATATTCTTCCCATTTACTCCATTTATCTCCCAGTATCTCCCATTTATTATCCCATTATCTCCCATTTATCTCCCATTTAATCCCATGTATCTCCCATTTAATCTCCCATTATCTTCCCATTTATCTCCCATTTATATCCCATATCTCCCATTTATATCCAGTATATCCCATGTATCTCCCATTTATATCCCATGTATCTCCCATTTATATCCCATGTATCTCCCATTTATATCCCATGTATCTCCCATTTATATCCCATGTATCTCCCATTTATATCCCATTTATCTCCCATTTATATCCCATTTATCTCCCATTTATATCCCATGTATCTCCCATTTATATCCCATTTATCTCCCATTTATCTCCCATTTATATCCCATTTATCTCCCATTTATCTCCCATTTATCTCCCATTTATATCCCATTTATCTCCCATTTATATCCCATTTATCTCCCATTTATATCCCATGTATCTCCCATTTATATCCCATTTATCTCCCATTTATATCCCATTTATCTCCCATTTATATCCCATGTATCTCCCATTTATATCCCATTTATCTCCCATTTATATCCCATTTATCTCCCATTTATCTCCCATTTATATCCCATTTATCTCCCATTTATATCCCATGTATCTCCCATTTATCTCCCATTTATATCCCATGTATCTCCCATTTATATCCCATGTATCTCCCATTTATATCCCATGTATCTCCCATTTATATCCCATGTATCTCCCATTTATATCCCATGTATCTCCCATTTATATCCCATTTATCTCCCATTTATATCCCATTTATCTCCCATTTATATCCCATTTATCTCCCATTTATCTCCCATTTATATCCCATGTATATCCCATGTATCTCCCATTTATCTCCCATGTATCTCCCATTTATATCCCATTTATCTCCCATTTATATCCCATTTATCTCCCATTTATATCCCATTTATCTCGCATGTATATCCCATGTATCTCCCATTTATCTCCCATGTATATCCCATGTATCTCCCATTTATCTCCCATTTATATCCCATGTATATCCCATGTATCTCCCATTTATCTCCCATTTATATCCCATGAAAACCCTCAATTTTAGTTGCTTTTTGCTTCCCAAAGCATCACCACGTCCCGAACATCACCGGGCCACCGGCGAGCCCGACAGGCAGCTGCAACATTTCCGGCAGCCGGCGCGCAGCAGCGTGGCCGTGGCCGCCAGCCGTGAAACCTGGAAAAAAAAAGGAGGCCTAATGCCGGGGATCAATGGCAAAAATTGGAAATTCATGGGATTTAATGGGATTTAATGGGATTTCATGGGATTTCATGGGATTTAATGGGATTTAATGGGATTATTATGGAAAAATGTGGGAAAATCTAAGGAAATTATGGAAAAAGAGTGGAAAAATGTGGGAAATTATGGAAAAAAATATGGGAGAAACTATGGGACATTGTGGGCAGAGATGGAAAATGTATGGGGAAAATGGTCGTTTTCTGGGCGGTGAAGTTTCCCCGTTTGTCGATAGTGATCAATGGGGAAATGTACTAACCATGATGGCTGAAGAACGCACCAAACCGAATCTTCTCCTCAAACAAATGCAGGGTGTGTATGTCACCAAACCGTCAACTTTGAAGGTAGAGATTCCCCTTTACAGTATATAACTATAGCAAGTCCCAGCCACTTGCTTAAATTCCTCGACTACCCAAAATCACTGGTTTTGAGGCAGGGGCTCCTTGGAACTGCCGTGGCTTTTATCCTATGGATACACTGGGTAACCAGCAACGGCTTAGGGGAGCTGGCCAACCATGGTTGTCATCTGCTGGTTGAATGGGATTCCGGATGGTTTTCTCCGCCAAATGACATGCATTTGTATTCCATGATCTACAGATGTGTTTGGAACGAAGGAACTGCTGGTACAACGGATACACGCAAGATCACACCAGCACAGTCCAAAGGGAACATAACAACTACGTGACATTTTACCATCTTTATTTTTGGTAAAACAATCAAGAACCATCCCCAAAATCACAACTTTTATGGGTGGTATAAACCATCACTATTGATAGTCGATATTATTATTGTATATTATTATAAATTATTATTATTATTATCATATACTCATTATTCACCATCACAGAAGGATTCTCTTCCGCCCATCAGAGACTGGACTGCTTCCCAGCGGCTGTTGACACACTCATCCCACACTCACCATCGGGGCACCATGGCTGGTCATGGCTTCGCACGGCATCTGGTGGAAAGCCGTTGAGGAACCATCGGATTTCTCTGCTTGGGGTCTTCAAACCTATAGTTTCTCACAACGAGACATGAGAGTTCCTCATCGGAAAAATGGACACAAACAATGTGTGTGTGTGTGGATATATGTATTGTTTGCGCAACAGCATTCAGACTGAGAAAGTCCTTGGGTCATGGTTTCTACTTCAACCAAATACAAATTATATATATATATGTGTGTGTGTATATGTGTGTGTGTGTGTAAATATATCCAAACATGTACATACATGTATACTGTATACATACTAGTTGTAAGTATCTCTGTTCTGATGGCGCAAGCATGTGCAACCTGGTGAGGAAACCCACCACGGACGGCCAGGATTCTGATGCTCCGTTCGCAAGTTCCAAAGTTGTGAAAGATAATGTGGCAAACCCAACAGACAAAAAACACCATTTACACATGTTGAATCATTTTGACCATTTCAGGTGTGTTTAAGAACCATGCCCAAAAAAATGGGTCTATTATATTCATTTTACTACACTACCAGATCCACAACAAACAGCTGGAACCAATCAACTCAATGCAAGTTGACCCTTCTTGGTTCCCAAAATTCGCGTGTCCGTCATCAGCCACAGCAAGCGACAAGCACACACAAAAAATGACCGGGTGGTGGCTCAAGAAGGGGCACAGAAGGACCCAGAAATGCAGTGGTTCAATGCTTTTATGGCATACCGTCAGGTTTTGTTTTGGGGAACAAGCCACCGGATACCATCTCCCAAACTAACATAGACCCTGAGAAACATCCCCTGGCACGGCCTATCTTAGCTGGTGGGGACAGGTGGGGATAACTTCCATCGCCACCTCTCCTCCCGTTCCATGATGCTGTCGAACACGCAACCGACCTCGCAGCCGTTCGATCGCTGAAGATCTGCTTCGCTTGGTCCATCCAGGAGAACATGCCTCGCTGGCTGATTGGCCAGTTGGCTGATCCCTGGTTTGGCAGCCCACTCTTGAAAACTCCCAACCAGTTGGGGTCCAAGAGGTGTACATGCAACCGAAAAGGTACTGTACTGAACTTGGAGATACGCGAAAGATTTACAAAGCCCTTGCAATCGCCTCAGTAAAACCATGTGAGAGAATCGCTGTGCGGCTGAGGTGCATGGCAAAAAACAACCTGCAGCAAATGGGTTATCCATATTTCAGAGCTATGTAAACGGTGAAAGTAGAGACGTTACCCATGGTTTTGGGCCGTAAATAGGGAATGTTCATTTGAAGTTGACTCAAGTCTGACCACGATCTCCCCAACGACATCCCTATTTGAGGCTAGGTCAAATTTGAAGTCCGGGAAAAATAGAGATGGACGTGTCATTTCTTGTCATGTCTCGTTGACAGAGCTTGGGGTTCCAATAAATCACCAACCTAATTCCTCCAAATGCCCCGTCTTGTTGCATTATAATCACTATATCCCTACTTTTTCTCCAATTCTATCAGCTAACCGCCCCCATCATTCTTGGGGATTCCTGCCTCCCGGCGCTAAAGCCGCCTTAGGAGGGTGGGAAAGCTGACCGGGCTGACCGGGCCCTGACTTCCAGGGATACCACGGGATAGCCAGCAAAATGTGGGACGTTTCTTGCCCCCAAAATGTTTCACAAAATGGAGATACAAACGGTGAGAAAAAAACAGGGCAGAATCTGAATGTTGGGTTGAGAATCTCTGTTTAAACGCCCTTATTTTTTGTTATTTTCTAAAACACATCGACATATTTCGACCTGGACAAAGGACCACGTCAGACGAGGAACTGAAACCAGCCAGAATCACTTTCAGTTCCACGGATCTGGTTAGTGGAATCCCCCAACTAATCATCAACCAGCCGGGCTTTTGAACACCAAACAATTGAGAATTTAGATATCATGTTAATATCCCACGAAAATATCCTATTAATATCCCATTATATATATATATACACAATATCTATTCAATTTCAATTGTCCTTTCATCTCCTCACGTTCCTAGCTTCTATTCCTCTGAGACATCGGGCGCCGTCGTCGGACTTCTTCGCCGCTGCACGCTTCTGCGACGGGGCAAGGCAATGGGCAGGGAACATCCCCACCTGATGGGTTAGCAGCCAATAGTAGTCAGTGGCTCGTGTCCCCTTTTAGGCATGGCATGGCATGGCCCTGGTTTCATAGTCCCGGAAATGCAATGACCCATCCCCAACTATGCCAAAACTTTTGTTGGGTACATTCATGGGCTTGTTTTCTGGCTATCAAGGGTGGCATTCATACCCAGCTGTATAGATAATGGGAAGGTGCAAGAATGGTACAGCCGAAAAACTAGGGACATCATTCTAGTAGCTATACAACTATATTACTTGCGGGGGGTAGCCCCCCCAATTAGTCAACCAGGGCTTTGTGCTCCAGGGTTAACCATACAGGTATGGGGTCAAAATATTGCCCCTAAGGTTGATTGAAATTAAAATATTGACCTTTAAAATGACTGAAATGAATAGATTGAATAGATTATAAATATTATATATATATCCAATACTAACATCTAGATATTTTAGATCAGGCTTTCCAAATATTTCTGAGGCTTTTTCCCTCCGCCTGCGAGGCAAAGCTCTTCACCAAGGGCATGCCACCGGGCAACGGAGCTCCCATGCCCCTGGGGTATGCGCTGTAGGTCTCCTAGCGCGCTACGGTGACAGGTGCAGCGCCGGGGGACAGCTATGGAGAATGCTATTGTGAAGTAAAGCCAAGGATGGACCACACTAAACAGATGGGAATGATTGGGAGGGTAAGAATCATGATGTTACAACACGGAGAGAGGTTTCCATGCTGCGTTTGCTGAGAGTAACGCTGCCAACAGTCCCCCTACAGCACCCCCAACCCAAAGTCCAAAGAAAATCCATAGGACCAGATGGCCCAGATCCTGATGTGTCTTTAAGATACAACCGTGGTGTATTCCTGCTATGGTCTTTGGGTCCCTGGAATCCCCAAGGGGACCCGCCATGGCCCCCTGCCGCGCCTTCGGGGGTGGCCTCCGCACGGTTTTGTCAGTTGAAGAGTCTCAAGAAATGGACCTAAAAATCTAACCCGTTATTTTTTCACCCAAACACCACGAATTCCATTTGCAAGAGCTGCCTTGGTATCTGCATATGCTTCGTAGTTTGATCGATAAGACTTTGGTTGTGGATTTTCATGCTTACCAAGTCCAAGACCTCCGAAAAGGTTTCATTTTTGGTGAGCTACCCAGCCACATGAAAGCTACGCAAACCAGCAGTGCTATTGGGGTCAGAATCCCAGAGGTCAGAGGTTGGTTTCCGTTGTGGCTGAATCCAATGCCAAGCCAAATGAAAAGCAAAGGAGAAAAAACACAAACCCACATGGATGGTAAAATCTCTATTTTTGTTCGTGAAAGCCTCACTCCTGTCGATAAATCCACATGTTTGTTGCTTCAATCCTTTAATTCATTGGTACATTACACGCCCATTTGCATCGAATCCCCATCTTAGTTGCCACACAAAATCTCCATCTTTGCCGGCCGGCCCTGCCTGGGTTTGCTGGCTTCCTGGGCGGATTTCCGAATGGAAAATTGAGGCCAGTTTATAAAATCATGGGATTGTACCTACCAAATTGATGGAATATACCAACTGATAGGAACTGACCAACAACCGATGGGATAAAGACTTTGAGAATGCAGGTTTCAACAAAGAATTCCGAATACGAACCATTATCAAAGTCTTAGGCAGTGGTTTGCAACCATGGTCAGTCCCGAAGATCTGGCACCAACAAGGACCTACTTCCGCTGACCTTTCTGTTGACCCCTGCCGACATCTTGGGGTCAAAATCCTGGTACAAAAATGAACGAAACTTATGCAGAATAGATCAGATCAGATCAAGGCAGGATGATGTGTTTTTTAATTCAGGCAAAATTAAGGAAGATTTAAAAAAATGGGCACAGACACAGAGACACACTATGTGGGTATGGGTCAATACCTATACATACATTTTTAGGGGGTTATTCACATCCATTTACCAGCTATTTTGATGTTCACCAGGGGTACAAGGTTTTGACACACTGCCATGTCATGACTATGTCGGGGAAGTTCACCCTTTGAATCCTTCAGCACGACCGGTTAGTTAAACCCTCTGGTCACCAGGAAGCCGGGCTGCAGCAGGCGCGCCACCATCCTCTTTCTTTCTCCTCGGTGTTAGTTTGTTGGGGAAGATATCCCAGGAAAACGTGGATATTACTGGATATTAGTGCGGAAACCCCATGTTCTTTTACGTCCTAAAAGATTGGGGGGTCGGCGTCGGGTTTTGATTTTTAAAAAATGCCCTTCAATTTCTGGGAGATTGCAGAACAATATATGGACGCAAGCAACAAAAAATGATTAGATAGGCTCAGTGAAAAAGGCTCTCCAATGTCGGGGCAAATCACTGGGACAAGATGCGACGAATCAAGGGTGGCGAGGTCTGGGGATCCAGACATTCTTTTTTGACACAACGGGGTATCCAGCCAAAGATAATGGGAATATAATGATTAGAATGGGTATATTAAGTGCGATGGGAGATATTTCACCAACTGAATACGATTCTGTGGGTGTGTCTGAAAATGGGGTATACGGCGTACGGCTCAAAATGACCATTGAATAAATAATCGGAAAGATGATGATAAGCCATTGAATGGAATGGGGCACCCTGTTCTCAGATGAACCCACATGTTTCCTCAACTGGGTCCACTCCAACAAATCACTTGCCTGCAAATTCTCTCATGATACCAATGATTTACTACGTCCCAAGAAGAAAGAAAATAGAAATCTCCATACAGTAGGTAAATTATTCCCAAAGCCCCGTACTCTCCTTCACGATTCTTGGGTTGTTTGGTGGCTCCATACCAAAAGGCTTTGAATACAGCAATGGAAAATCATCCTTTTTAATACAATGTTCTGGATGTTCTGGCAAGCTGAGTAACGTTACCAAATGGTATATCCCAAACTGTGTGTATCCACATGACATCTTGTTGGTAAGATCCCTCCTTTTGTTGGCAAAAACCCCAGTTTGCCCCTTGAAAATTGGAGGTCACTCCAGCCATGGCCCCTTTTTTCTCTCCGCATGGCAGCCCTCGAGACCACGGACCAGCGGCGCTCTACCTGTGAGACAGTGATACGATCATCACAGATACCGTACGCCAGTGGCGCATACTCTAAAGTGACAGAATCTGTGATTCAATGGGACTGTTTAAGGGAAAATCTACAGGAAACCATGGTTTTACCATTAAGAAATAGAGTTTTCCTGTAGATAAATTCTGGGAGTGATATGTTGGGTCTGAAGTTTTGGCCCACAGCCCACAAACAGCCTCTTCCTCTTTCTCTACTGTCCGTTCATCCGTGTTTCTCCAAGTGTGCAAACCCTGGTGAAATGGATTGGATCCATTTTGGTATCCCATGGGGTGATGGACTTAGGGGATGGGAGAGTTATCCCTGTCCCAAAGGATGAATCCAGTCTGGGAAGCTCACGTTGGATTGGGTGCATGTCAACGTATGCACTTCAAAACCTGGGAAGCATATGGAAACATGTTGATTCACCCATCCCTTTTTGAAGAACGAACGGACAATCTGGGTATTATTCAATAACTTGGATTTCAACCCCCCAAAGATTGAATGGAATGGATTATTTAGGGAGATCCACCTATGCATTATGGGATGCTTGGTGAAAACACCTATGACGATTCATTAGGTGTCCCACCCATTTCAGGTGATACTCCTCATGTACTCGAGCTCCAGCCTCATGCTGGTGCCACGATAACCGCATATCGATGAAAAGTACCAACCTGCAGGGGTCGATTTAGATCAAAGTGATCGGATCCAAAGTGGGTAGCAGTAGGATCAGTAGGATGTCAGTGTCAACAGCAATCAAGCATGCCAAGGGGGCACTTTCCAACTTCAATAGATGGGTTTGTTCGAAAATGCCTATTCAAATCAGGAAAATTATGATCAACCATCAAACTTGGGGGGGTAAGCATCTCCACATGGTGGTTAAAAAAAAAACAATCTTTAATTGTCCAAAGTCGTCCAGAATCATCCAAACTTCTTGTTCTTATTGGGAAAAAAACACCTGTTGGGGTATCCAATTTGCTTCTCAGCCTCGTCGGCCGGCCGGCCAGCGTAAAACCTCGATCCAGGTCTGACACACCAAAAACCCTGCTGATGATGGTATTTGTATAACGGGTTACGTACTAGCTGGGGGTAGTGGAGTTATAGAATAAATGGATATATATATATATATATACATACATATATATATATGCAGTATACATGCATAATCTAATAAATAGCAGCTTACTTTATATATATATATATACATGTGTGTAAATGGGATATGGGGATGGGTCATGCCCAAGCAAGAAAAATGGGGCTTCAACGGTTGAACCAACAACAATAGAGTTTGTTGAAGCAACAAAACCCCAAGATTTTTCAGCATCAAACTGGGGAATCGACCACCCTTAAAAATGTAGGACATCTCCACTGGAATGATCCACGACTGAAAGTTGGGAATGAGTAGCAGCGACTGAAAGCGACTGATCCATGGAGTTGCAGGGGTTACATCCACCCCAGCTTCAAGCTTAGCGGAAAAAAAAAAAACAAGATGCTTCAGGAAAGTGACTTGGAAAAGACCCTTTCTTCAAAGTCACAAACTGCCACATGTCCATGTTGCTTTGCGGTGCACTTGGGCAAGCGTCCTCCCGGACAGCTAATAACTCACAGTACTTGGGCAGTTGCTCCGAAGCTACTTGGAATGGCCATTCAAGTAGACCCCAAAAAAATCCTATGCTATCCTCATATTCTGTTGTTTTGCATCCTTATTGTTGTGCGTTCCCCCCATGTTTGTTGCTTCCCTGGACGATTTGCTGGTCAGATCGTCAAGTAGATCATCGTAGATCTGAAGGTCCCTATAGGTGTCTTGGGCAAATAGTTTTTGTTGCAAAATCACCATGTTATACACCTTTTGTTGTCTGCAAATCACTTTGTGTTTTTTCCTGGTGAAATACAGTAGAACCATTTTTTTCCAGTGTTCAAGAAACCCACCATCTTTTTGTTCCAACATCAAATGTCTCATCCAACTGGGCCCCGACGGATTCTCGCGGATCTCCACCATAACGTGTTGGGCATGGCAGATCTGCACACAGGCCTGGTGGCGGAAGGTGACAGGGCCAAGATCCTTGGAAAAATCTACAGCAAACCAGGTGGTCACAGGGTTTTTCATCGTTTTTTAATCATCAAAGAAAGGAGTTCCCTCAATCTGGCTGTTCCCTTCATTCCCTTCGAATGGATGCTTTGAACAGCCAGAACTGAGAGGTTTTTTCGTGGATGCTGTCCTGCAAATTTGCTATCGCCTCCAAATAACTAATGATTTTCCTGGATATTTGTTCTGCTAAGCTGCTAAAATATGAACCAACTAAATGTGGTTGACCTGATGTTTTCTATGAACGCAGCGGGCACATTGGTGTACGGACCGACAACTATTGGAGATAATTTCATGTTAGGAACATTCTCCTCAATGTACCGTTGGAACTTCTTGGAAGTCATGTATGACAATGAGCTAACAACCTCTTTAAATTAGGATCTAACCAACCCTAACTTGCTGGGAATTCAAGCCACAATAGAGCATTGAGTACAATCAGAAGTTGAGGATCTCCCTGGTGGTGGGTCCTCGTTTTGTTGACTGCATCCCCATGTTTCATGCTTCATCCCATCCTGATAATCGAATCACCCCGGACCCCCAAAATGCACAAATCCACAACATTCCACCAGAGTCTTTGGGGGGGGTTTATTTTGAGGCAGAAGTACATTATACTTCAATAATCTTCAATATATATATATAATTACTTGGTTTCAACCAGCCAAAAAAAAACACAAAGAAGTATTGATCTTGTTGGTGTTTCCACTATGCCACTGATCCCCACGGATTCCATGGCTTAGAAAAGCACCGTTTCCCCAGCAGTCCTCAGCTTCCTGGCGATAGAAGGTGGCGAAGACGCAGCGGCCCTTGGGTGATCGGCTCGACAAGACGTGCCGCAGGATGGGCAGCCAGGGGCCGCCGTTGGTGACCTGGGGACGGTAGTGACCAGGCTACGTTGCCATCTATGGAGATAGATAGATAGATAGATAGATAGACAGACAGATAGATAGATAGATAGCTAGATAGATAGACAGACAGACAGACAGATAGATAGATATAGAGAGAGATTAGATATATATATATTATCATTGTATATATATATATAATATATATATATATGTCTGTATATGCGACTGTAGTTGCGAGAGAACCCCACAAATCGGGGACTTGCAAAGGAGATCAGAAGGTGTGAGAAAGTTTGGGATGTTCAAGGGGTTGACAAACGGACCTTTTTGGGGATTTTGAATACCACCTGAAAAGTATCTGTTGGGGATGGTATCCCCAATAGTCGGGTGATGTCTAAATTAAGACATTTACCATCCCCTGTCTTCTTCGAACTATAATTTAGTTTCTTTGGCAACAGTAATGGGGATTGAAACAGAAAAAACACGAATGAGGAGATCTCAGCCTGAGCAAGAATATCTGCAATATGATTAATATGTTGTGTCGATTGGCAAGGAAAAAGCTAGGCATGCAATCTACGCATAGCAATCGTGCTTGTAAAGCTTCTCCTGACATCCCACGTATTGTATTTTGTTCATGACGTTCCCAGCGGTCAATCACTTTCATTCGCTTGGTGGGTCGTATGCCTATTTGTTGATCATAGTGTGGTGTATCGATATCTTTTTTTGTAAGGATTTTTTTGCGGCTGGCGACTGGCCCCATCATCAGAAAGACAAGTGGGAACAATGCTCTCGACCATCTGTGATAGATTAATCTCAGGGATCTGAAAAGAAAGGACATGGAAGGACCAACCCCAATCAAACTTGTCGGGGTATATCATATATAATGCCCTATCCCAAATATAAGATATCCCTCCACGGATATGGACTAAACATCTTTTGCACACCGATAGGTGTTATTCATCGACTGGCCAACCAACTTCAAGAATGGTTCAAGTCACTTCTAGCACCCCAGATTGGTCGCCTGACCGGTCAGTGGAAACGCGAGGCTCTTTTCCTGCGATATCTATAATTGCTGAAATATCCAACAAACTAAGCACACCTTGAGGAACCGACAGTGATCGTACCTAACGAATGGACAGCACTGAAGCTCTGAAGACTCGATGGCAAGGTCATCAGGTCCATTCTTTGGTTGAACTCTTTGCCAAAGCTCAAGCTTTGAAGACCCGACGGCAAGGTCACTTGCTCCAGGCTTTGGTTGAAGTCATTGCCAAAACTCAAGTTTTGAAGACTTGATGGCAAGATCACCCGCTCCAGGCTTTGGTTGAACCTATTGCCAACACTCAAGCTTTGAAGACTCGATGGCAAGGTCACCCGCTCCAGGCTTTGGTTGAAATCTCTGCCAAATCTCAAGCTTTGAAGATTCAATGGCAAGGTCACCTGTTCCAGGCTTTGGTTGAACCCAGAGCCAAAACTCAAGTTTTGAAGGCTCGATGGCAAGGTCACCCTCTCCAGGCTTTGGTTGAAGCAATCACCAAAACTCAAGCTTTGAAGGCTCGATGGCAAAGTCACCCTCTCCAGGCTTTGGTCGAACATATTGCCAAAACTCAAGCTTTGAAGACTCGATGGCAAGGATTGCAAGGTCCGCTCCAGGCTTTGGTTGTAGACAACACCAAGAAACAAGCATTGAAGACTTGATGGCAAGTAGAGGTGGAACCCATCATCAAGACTCAAGCTTTGAAGACTCGATGGCAAGTCCAGCCTTTGGCTGAACTCTTTGCCAAAGCTCAAGCTTTGAAGACTCGATGGCAAGGTCACCAGCTCCAGGCTTTGGTTGAAGTCATGGCCAAAACTCAAGTTTCGAAGATTGCATGGCAAGGTCACCCGATCCAATTTTTGGTTGAAATGCCCGCCAAAACTCAAGCTTTGAAGGCTCGATGGAAAGGTCATCCTCTCCAGACTTTGGTTGAATTTAGAGCCAAAACTCAAGCTTTGGAGACTTGATGGCAAGGCCATCCGCTCCAGGCTTTGGTTGAATTCCTGGCCAAAACTCAAGCTTTGAAGACTCGATGGCAAGGTCACGCGCTCCAGGCTTTGGTCGAATAGATCGCCAAAACTCAATCTTTGGAGACTCAATGGCAAGGTCACTCGCTCCAGGCTTTGGTCGAACTGAAGGCCAAAACTCAAGCTTTGGAGACTCGATGGCAAGGTCACCCGCTCCAGGCTTTGGTTGAAATTACGCCCAAAACTCAAGCTTTGAAGACGCGACGGTAAGGTCACTTGCTCCAGGCTTTGGTTGAAGTCATTACCAAAACTCAAGTTTTGAAGACTTGATGGCAAGATCACCCGCTCCAGGCTTTGGTTGAACCTATGGCCAACACTCAAGCTCTGAAGACTCGATGGCAAGGTCACCCGCTCCAGGCTTTGGTTGAAATCTCTGCCAAATCTCAAGCTTGCAAGGCTTTGGGGCAGATGATCTAAATACTCTCCAGGCACTGCTCCCTCAAGTCGCGTAACGCCTTCTAGCACGAATTCTCTCTCACAAGTTGGGAGCCCGCATACATAACGCCATGCAGCGTGAACATTTGTTGGTATGTAAGTGCAGGACAGCAGTGCCGATCTTCCAACAATCCCTTGCTCTCCCAAGGTTTGATCGAGGGTCAGTTTTCGATTCACGTGATGCACCGCCAGCTTTGCGCCGGGCTTGCATGGAAGTTTCTCTGACACCAACCTGCGCAGGTCATATCCAAGCATAGAGCGAGGGACGCCTAGTGTCACTCCTTCTCCAGTCAAGCATAGCACCTGAAGATCGACCTCATCAATTTCATCTGCTGCACCTTTGTCAGTAGAGGATGGATCCACATAGCCATGTTGTGCGCCGGACATTTGTCAACATACAAGCTCCTCACTGTCACTACTAGGCAAAGCCAAAGTTGAGCTCTGGGCTCAGGTCAGACCTTCACAAAAACCGATACAGCCCGCAAATCACATAGGGAACCCAAAGATTGTCAGTTCAAACTGCCAAAAAAAAATATTCCAACCGCATTTCAAATTATTAGTTCCCGGGGCAGCCGCCTGATGAGGTGCAATCCATTCTGATTCTGGAGATAGCTAGCCCCTGGTAAGCAAGGTTGGCAATGGAAAAACACCATCGGAACAGGAAATGTACCTAAGAATGAGAAGCATGTACTGATACGTTCCAGCCCGCCGGGTTAGATTCCCTGGAGGAAAAACCATCTAAGCTGTCACATGTACTTCGATGTGCATCTGATTTCTTGGTGGGTAGTTTACAAACTAGGATGCACACCCAAGTCCCTCTCAGGACCTAGTCTGGTTTCAGTTTCCTGTTTTCTTCTCATTTACATATGTCTGCATGATCTTACCATCAAAAATGGTGGTTTTCCGTTGAAAGAAATTCATTACCAAAGGGTTGATTCCCAGATTTGTTGGTTTATCTTCACTCTCTCCACTTTCTCTGGTTTTAGCTGCTGAATATCCCCATTGAAACTGATCAATCCCCATGTTTGTCACTTAAACCCTTCCATGTTTGCGGCTTGATATCCCTCTAATTTATTTGTGGTTTGTATCATATCTTTATCATTTTCCATTGGGCAAATCCCAAATTAGAGGACAGAGCCCAATTCGTACAGGATAGATGCTCATTTCTATGGCTTAAATCACCATTTTTGTGAATCAAAATCCCCATGATTCATTAGAGTTAAGCCGGCATTTTTCTATGGCTTAAACCACCATTTTGGCTGGTTAACTACCATGTTTCCACCATTTTTGCCAGTGAAATCACCATGAGTTCACCATTTTTCGGGCCCTTTTTGGCGGCCGCCGCACCTCTGGATGCGCCGCAAGAATGAGGCCGGCCAACGGCTGGGGCTCTTGGACCAAGTCCTGGAGGATGATCCAGGAACTGACGTAACTTGGCCAAGTTATGAAGGGATCATCATATATGGCAGTGTGTCAAAACCAATAGTACCCCTTTTTTGTTCACATCAAAATAGCTGGGATTTATGGATGTGAATAACCCACTAAAAATGGTATTTTCATAGGTATTGATCCATAGCCATATAATGATCATTTATAACATCCATATGATTATATAATGATCTATCCAGTGATTATAATAGATCATCATAATACATTCTAATGATGATCTATTAGAATACATTCCGTAACTGGATTTTTCGATGATGATCTATTATAATACATTCCGTAACTGGATTTTTCGATGATCTATTATAATCACTGTATGGAAATGAAACAGACTATTTGCCATAGAAGTTGTAAGAGTTAACGGAAAACCATGGCTGAGAGTCTGTGGGAAAACCAGTAGTGTATGGATAAAATCCTTACTGTATGGATACAACCACAGGACTGTTTTAGGCCATCCAATTGGGAAAATAACCATCAGTACTACGTGGTTTTTCATATGACCTTGGCTTTCATGGTTAGAACCATCAGTTATAAACATATATAGTGATCAGTAGTTAAAGTCAAAGCTATGGTTTAGAGCAAGAGCCATACCATAATATGGATATCTGTAGTAGTTAATTGCTGATATCAGTACTAAATGGAATGCACCCCCAAGTAGTTAAAACCAGAGGTCAATTCGCCTTTTAATAGAAGTTCATAGCCAACGCCCGCAGTATGTCTGTCCATAATTGTCTGCAAATGATATATCGATGATATGCAAAATCTAGTCATGCTATATGTTCTTTCAATACAAATTGCAAAAATATCACAATTATATAATGGTATAAACCCTTAGTATCTCTGCCATCATCAGTATTTTGATGGCAAATAATCGGATCAGTGGCTAAGAACCACCTAGAATAAGCCAGTTAGATTAGTTGGATGTACCCCAGCTATACATGGGTCATTGATCACTTATTGATTCGGATGCACCCCCCAAGTATCCATCCATGGGTTTATGACAGAATTAATCGTGGATTATATACAGTTGTAGATAGATAGATGGTATATACGTAGCATAATTATGCAATTGACAACTAGTATCCATGTTTGTATCTATATATGTACATATATATATATGGTATATATAAACCATAGTCTGTTGATCATTGTAATCACAACCAGCTTAGAACAGTCATTGATATACCACATACCGTACCTGGAACCCAAATGACCTCTATTTGGGAAAGATTAGACCTATCGTTTTGAGGTTGAACCACCCGAAATAGAGGGATTAAGACAGGCATAGCTATAAAATTGCACTTTCGTCAGGTGTGTACATATTTATATACGTAGAGACGCAGAGAGATTTTGTTAATTGGATATGATGTGTGTATATATATATATATGTATAGTATACATGTACAAAGATATGAGAACATCTATACATATTTAGGATATCAAAGGATAATGCCACACTAACCATGTTACAATTGTGCACATATACTGAGCTGTATATCCAGTCTGTACACTGAGATGTACACAGACTTGAAGACGTATATGGGTGTTCTGGGATTGGGTATAAATCAAATATGAATTGGAGATGTGTATATATATATATATACATGTGTATATATATATATATACATGTGTATATATATATATGTGGGTATGTGTGTGTATGTATCTATATATATATATAGATATGTAATATATATATATACATATGTACATATGTACATACGTGAGCCATCATAAGAGACAAGAGGGCTGCTCCAGTATTTCATTTGCCCCTTGGTTGTTCAAAGGGATTTCCACTTGTACAAAACACCAATAGTTGTAGAAAAGGGATGAAGAGGGTATGGCTGCAGCTGGAATAGGCTTGAAGTGCAAAAACAGCAGTAAGTGAGACTGTTCTAGCTTCTTTTGCCATCTCTCAGTCAACTATATAGAGCTCTGCACTCGAAGCACAATGGCAAATGGTCTTCATCACATCATCTGAATGGTGGTTTCAACAGCCCTTAACGAGTAGTTGTCAAGTGTGGATCCTGATCCCAAGCAGGGATGATAACGAAACACCTGCCAGGAACTGGGAAAAAATGCACCCTGCCTGCTGACGCAACTGCAAGGTGATGCGCCCTGAAAATTCATGTTCGGTCCACTTTTCCTCAGCTCTCAGGGGGTGCTGCGGTCAGCTGTCAGGGGGTGCAGTCAGGAGCTGGGTCAGGAGCTGCTAATAACAAATAGACCAATCAAAGTGGGTTGGTCGAAAAGGGTACCCAAAATGAGTCATGTTGATTTGGAAAATGGTGTCACCCATGATTTTGGATTCCCCAAATTTTCAGACAAACCTAAACTCGGAAATGGCCATGAGTGGCCACATGAATGGGATACGGAGGGCTTGTTTCTGCCCCCTGGGTTTGCCCATACAGGAGTTGATTCGCTTCAGCAACTAGAGCCCATTCCAATTTCCACAAAAAAAACCTACATCAATCCGATTTTGGGCCTCACGATACCACCTCAAAAACCAATATTGCTCGATTTTGGGCCTCTCAGTTCTTGCTGGTTCCACCCCCATCCTTTCTGAAGGTTCACCCCACCTGTTTGCTGATGAAAAAGCCCATTTTTTGGTACTGAAAATCCCTACTGAACTGCATGCAGGATCATCCCAAAGCTCGCCCATTGGTTTATGCAGTTTCGATCCGTGGAATGATCCTGGAAGATCCTCAACCCACCAAAAGATGGAATTGTTTGTCATGTGTTGATGAATAGTATCCCAAATTTCGCACGGTTTCAATCCAAAATTTGTCATTATATATTCATCACTTGAAATTGGTATGCCATTCTATGACCGAATAAAAGCACGACTGGTACCCCAAACACCAAAATCCCAAGCCTTGTTACAGAAATCTCCATGATCGTTGATTTGCAATCCTATTTTGCCTGATTGAATTTCCGTTTTATTGTGGAAAAAACTGCTGCAATTCACAACTGTAGATCCAATCAACACTTTCTGTCCAGTGAAATCCCCGTTTTCGTGGGTGAAATCCACAGTTTCTTTCAATTTGTAGGGAAAATACGGATGAACTCCCTATGTTTGGTCCAGTTTCTTCGGGAAAAATCTTCAGAAAATCCCAACTTTTCCCCATTTTTTCCGAGCTGCCCAGGCGGCCCACCAAAAGTCCTGCGGCCGCACATCACAGCCCTGCACTTGGATGCGCCGGGCGCGACCTGAGCGATGTGAAATGGGATCAGGTATGAAAACGTGGAGTTCTGATTTCATAGGAATTTAATCAGATTCAATGGCGATTTTATCGGATATTTATATGTATATGTATGTAATGGAGATGTCACCAAGGAAAATGACACGTCAGCAGACATGCAGATTTGACCAAGATATCCTCAAGCTGCAGAAACCGTGAATTGACCAAGAAATTTCAGACTTAGCCAGAAAAAATCTGGATGTTACCAACAAAACTCACATTTCACCAAGACAAATCTGGATGTCACCAAGAAAAATCAGACTTGAGCAGCAAATAAGTTATGGATGTGTGTACCAAAAGAAATGACCAGAAATTGGGATTAAAGCAACAAGAATAGGAGTTCAACTCAAAAATCACTGAGGACATATATGGTATGTAAAATACCCTCTGGTAATTTAACATAGCTATTGAAAATGGATGAAAATGGCCATTTATAGTGGACTTACCTTTAAAAAAATGTGATTGTCCATAGTTATGTTAGTTTACCAGAGGGTATTCCCTATTTGGCTGAACATCCCCCGAACAGGGGATCCACAATTACATCGACCATCCCGGCTGGCCGTCGGTTTGTTGAGTAGGTTGATAACCACAGCGATCCAACAAGCAGGGAGACCGACCTCGAAAAAGTATAGTGACCCCTGCTCCATCCCTGGATGTCCATGTTCAACGTCGTAAGATTTAAAATGTCTATTCAGTCATGTTTTAGATTCTAGATACTGAAGATGAGCGATTTTCTCCAGTTATGGGGATCCATGAAGATGTTCCCTCCCTCCATGCCTCTGTCCAGGATCTGCGATGCCAAAAATGGAAGCAGGTGAGGTGCCTGAACTGCGAATCGCGAATCGGGGCGCACCATCTAGATATGGCGACCTATTTTGAGGATTTTTAGGGGGGTACTAAAGGAGCACCACAAATCTGGCAATTCTGAGCACCCTCTGCCTCTGGTATCATCAAACAGGGCAATTGAAACCTCTATAAACCATTATAAACCGAGGTTTTAATGGGAAAATGTTCTATAATGGGATATGTTCCGCACCGGTTTAGACTCTTATGCCAGTCCAGATCTCAGCAAGAAACTTTGCAGTAGGATGGATATTTGGAGTCACTAGCAAGAAAAATATATAAAAATATAATGCCAGTAAGTTTGCGATCAATGCAAATAGTAATGTAGCACGCTGGTTTGGGGTTTTCCCCATTTCTCACTTACTGTCTGTGACATTCCCAGCGTTCAGTCGCTTCTATTCCTGTGGTCCATTGCATCCCTCATCGTTGATCTTAGCGAGGTGTAGTGGGGATCTGAAAAGAGAGGAAGAACCTTGTGGAGGTATACTTGATACTGTATGTGATAACAGCATACAGCATACCTCAAAATTTGAATATCCTCCAACTAAAATGGATTCCACATCTTTACCAAAAAATGGAGGGGTATTCACCGACTGAGAACTCAAAAGAAAACTGGTCCGGGTCGCCTCAAGCACCAGAGGTCGGCCCTACACATCTCTGTGAAAGCAACCCTCTTTTGCTTCCAACTCTATCTTTGGACTCATTCGCGATTGTCTCAGAAAAAAACTAAGGACAGCTGGCAATACCAACCGCCACCATACGTGATGAATAGCAAGCACTGAAGCTTTGAAGGCTTGATGGCAAGGTCACCCGCTCCAGGCTTTGGTTGAACATACTGCCAAAACTCAAGCTTTGAAGACTCGATGGCAAGGTCACCCTCTCCAGGCTTTGGTTGAAGCAATCACCAAAACTCAAGCTTTGAAGACTCGATGGAAAGGTCACCCTCTCCAGACTTTGGTTGAACATACTGCCAAAACTCAAGCTTTGAAGACTCGATGGCAAGGTCACCTGCTCCAGGCTTCGGTTGAAATTTTGGCCAAAACTCAAGTTTCGAAGACTCAATGGCAAGGTCACCTGCTCCAGGCTTTGGTTGAACCAAAAGCCAAAACTCAAGCTTTGAAGACTTGATGGCAATGTCACCCTCTCCAGGCTTTGGTTGAACATACTGCCAAAACTCAAGCTTTGAAGACACGATGGCAAGGTCACCTGCTCCAGGCTTTGGTTGAAATTCGCACCAACACTCAAGCTTTGAAGGCTGGATGGCAAGGTCACCCGCTCCAGGCTTTGGTTGAAGCCAGAGCCAAAACTCAAGCTTTGAAGACTCGATGGCAAGGTCACCCTCTCCAGGCTTTGGTTGAAGTCATGGCCAAAACTCAAGCTTTGAAGACTCGATGGCAAGGTCACCCTCTCCAGGCTTTGGTTGAAGTCAGCGCCAAAACTCAAACTTTGAAGACTCGATGGCAGGGTCACCTGCTCCAGGCTTTGGTTGAATTTCAAGCCAAAACTCAAGTTTCGAAGACTCAATGGCAAGGTCACCTGCTCCAGGCTTTCGTTGAATTTAAAACCAAAACTCAAGCTTTGAAAACTTGATGGCAATGTCACCCGCTCCACGCTTTGGTTGAAGCAATAGCCAAAACTCAAGCTTTGAAGACTCGATGGCAATGTCACCCTCTCCAGGCTTTGGTTGAATTTTTGGCCAAAACTCAAGCTTTGAAGGCTGGATGGCAAGGTCACCCGCTCCAGGCTTTGGTTGAAGCCAAAGTCGAAACTCAAGCTTTGAAGACTCGATGGCAAGGTCACCCTCTCCAGGCTTTGGTTGAACCCATGGCCAAAACTCAAGCTTTGAAGACTTGATGGCAATGTCACCCTCTCCAGGCTTTGGTTGAAGTAAAAGCCAAAACTCAAGCTTTGAAGACTTGACGGCAAGGTCACCCCCTCCAGGCTTTGGTTGAATTTAAAGCCAAAACTCAAGCTTTGAAGGCTCGATGGCAAGGTCACCTGCTCCAGGCTTTGGTTGAATTTAAAGCCAAAACTCAAGCTTTGAAGACTTGATGGCAACGTCACTTGCTCCAGGCTTGGGTTGAAGGAATGGCAAAAAGTCAATGTTGCAAGGCTTTGGGGCAAATGACGTAAATACTCTCCACTCGTTGCTCCCTCAATCTTTGTTACACCTTCTAGCACAAATTCTCTCTCACAAGTCGGGAGCCCACAGACATAACACCATGCAGTGTACACATTTGTTGGTATGTAAGTGCAGGACAGCATTGCCGATTTTCCAACAATTCCTTGCTCTCCTAAGGTTTGATTCAGCGTCACCTTGGCATTCCCATTATATACGCCGAGCTTGGCGCCTGGCTTGCATGGAAGCTTCTCCGACACCAATCTGCGCAGGTCATATCCAAGCATAGAGCAAGGGACACATTCTGTCACTCCTTCTCCAGTCAGGCACAGCACCTGAAGAACGACCTCATCAGTTTCATCTGCTGCACCTTTGTCAGTAGATGATGGATCCACATAGCCATGTTGTGCACCGGACATTCGTCAACATTTACACATTGCTCACTACTGGGCAAAGCCGAAAAATCTTCGCACAAAAAGAAGGTACAGACCTTAAATCGGTTTGTACAAAAACATTATGGGTACCCTAAATCCAGTACCCATTTTCAGCCCCCGACGTAACAGGGAACCCAAAGATGGTCATTTCCAAACTGCAGACCTATTATTGTTAGTCGCTAGCAGGAAAATACTGTCAAATTTCAGAAGGTGTTAAGGGAAGACGGTTTGATTTCAGCATGGACGATGCAACTGATTAAGCAGAAAACAGGCCCAACTTATTTTTGATCACATTGAATGGCTGAGACCCTCCGCATCATGGTAGGCAACATTTGAATCAATAAACCGAGGTTTTAATGGGAAAATGTTCTATAATGGTTTTTTTTTCCGCACTAGTTTAGACTCTTGTGCCAGTCCAGATCTCAGCAAGAAACTTTGCAGTAGGATGGATATTTGGAGTCACTAGCAAGAAAAATATATAAAAATATAATGCCAGTAAGTTTGCGATCGATGCAAATAGTAGCACACTGGTTTGGCGATTTCCCCATTTCTCACTTACTGTCTGTGACATTCCCAGCGTTCAGTCGCCTCTATTCCTGTGGTCCATTGCATCCCTCATCGTTGATCTTAGCGAGGTGTAGTGGGGATCTGAAAAGAGAGGAAGAACCTTGTGGAGGTATACTTGATACTGTATGTGATAACAGCATACAGCATACCTCAAAATTTGAATATCCTCCAACTAAAATGGATTCCACATCTTTACCAAAAAATGGGGTATTCACCCACTGAGAACTCAAAAGAAAACTGGTCCGGGTCGCCTCAAGCACCAGAGGTCGGCCCTACACATCTCTGTGAAAGCAACCCTCTTTTGCTTCCAACTCTATCTTTGGACTCATTCGCGATTGTCTCAGAAAAAAACTAAGGACAGCTGGCAATACCAACCGCCACCATACGTGATGAATAGCAAGCACTGAAGCTCTGAAGGCTTGATGGCAAGGTCACCCGCTCCAGGCTTTGGTTGAACATACTGCCAAAACTCAAGCTTTGAAGACTCGATGGCAAGGTCACCCTCTCCAGGCTTTGGTTGAAGCAATCACCAAAACTCAAGCTTTGAAGACTCGATGGAAAGGTCACCCTCTCCAGACTTTGGTTGAACATACTGCCAAAACTCAAGCTTTGAAGACTCGATGGCAAGGTCACCTGCTCCAGGCTTCGGTTGAAATTTTGGCCAAAACTCAAGTTTCGAAGACTCAATGGCAAGGTCACCTGCTCCAGGCTTTGGTTGAAGCCAGAGCCAAAACTCAAGCTTTGAAGACTTGATGGCAATGTCACCCTCTCCAGGCTTTGGTTGAACATACTGCCAAAACTCAAGCTTTGAAGACACGATGGCAAGGTCACCTGCTCCGGCTTTGGTTAAAATTTTGGCCAAAACTCAAGTTTCGAAGACTTCCTTGCAAGGTCACCTGCTCCAGGCTTTGGTTGAAATTCGCACCAACACTCAAGCTTTGAAGGCTGGATGGCAAGGTCACCCGCTCCAGGCTTTGGTTGAAGCCAGAGCCAAAACTCAAGCTTTGAAGACTCGATGGCAAGGTCACCTTCTCCAGGCTTTGGTTGAAGTCATGGCCAAAACTCAAGCTTTGAAGACTCGATGGCAAGGTCACCCTCTCCAGGCTTTGGTTGAAGTCAGCGCCAAAACTCAAACTTTGAAGACTCGATGGCAGGGTCACCTGCTCCAGGCTTTGGTTGAATTTCAAGCCAAAACTCAAGTTTCGAAGACTCAATGGCAAGGTCACCTGCTCCAGGCTTTGGTTGAATTTAAAGCCAAAACTCAAGCTTTGAAGACTTGATGGCAATGTCACCCGCTCCAGGCTTTGGTTGAAGCAATAGCCAAAACTCAAGCTTTGAAGACTCGATGGCAAGGTCACCTTCTCCAGGCTTTGGTTGAAGTCATGGCCAAAACTCAAGCTTTGAAGGCTTGATGGCAATGTCACCCTCTCCAGGCTTTGGTTGAATTTTTGGCCAAAACTCAAGCTTTGAAGGCTGGATGGCAAGGTCACCCGCTCCAGGCTTTGGTTGAAGCCAAAGTCGAAACTCAAGCTTTGAAGACTCGATGGCAAGGTCACCCTCTCCAGGCTTTGGTTGAACCCATGGCCAAAACTCAAGCTTTGAAGACTTGATGGCAATGTCACCCTCTCCAGGCTTTGGTTGAAGTAAAAGCCAAAACTCAAGCTTTGAAGACTTGACGGCAAGGTCACCCCCTCCAGGCTTTGGTTGAATTTAAAGCCAAAACTCAAGCTTTGAAGGCTCGATGGCAAGGTCACCTGCTCCAGGCTTTGGTTGAATTTAAAGCCAAAACTCAAGCTTTGAAGACTTGATGGCAAGGCCATCCGCTCCAGGCTTTGGTTGAAGTCATAGCCAAAACTCAAG